CCAAGGGGGCTCTCAGAGCGCGGTACCGTCTAGGGGCTCTCAGAGCGCGATACCACCAAAGGGGCTCTCAGAGCGCGGTACCGTCTAGGGGCTCTCAGAGCGCGGTACCGCCAAGGGGGCTCTCAGAGCGCGGAACCGTCTAGGGGCTGTCAGAGCGCGATACCGCCAAAGGGGCTCTCAGAGCGCGGTACTGTCTAGGGGCTCTCAGAGCGCGGTACCGCCAAAGGGGCTCTCAGAGCGCGGTGCCGTCTAGGGGCTCTCAGAGCGTGGTACCGCCAAGGGGGCTCTCAGAGCGCGGATACCAGAGCGCGATACCGCCAAAGGGGCTCTCAGAGCGCGGTACTGTCTAGGGGCTCTCAGAGCGCGATACCGCCAAAGGGGCTCTCAGAGCGCGGTACTGTCTAGGGGCTCTCAGAGCGCGATACCGCCAAAGGGGCTCTCAGAGCGCGGTACCGCCAAGGGGGCTCTCAGAGCGCGGTACCGCCAAGGGGGCTCTCAGAGCGCGGTACCGCCAAGGGGGCTCTCAGAGCGCGGTACCGCCAAGGGGGCTCTCAGAGCGCGGTACCGCCAAGGGCGCTCTAAAATACAACCTTCACCAGACCACCACGAGTAATAAATTCTGGTGTTCCATTACCAAGAACCAAGAGAATGCTGAAAATACTGCCCCATAATATGATGATTGACCAAACAAATACACAAGGGCCTGAGTGCTCTAGTGTTCAATAATATGATAAATTTTACCGTGTCGAGGCTACAATTTTTGTTGTATATTATTTGTGTACATTTAGAGTGTTCATTTGTACATCGTGGCAAATTCTACGTCTTAGATTCGCGTAGAACTTTTGTTTTGTGTGGTGTATGGCAAGTATGTATGGCAAACCTTTCTACTACACCTTAGTGTTTAATACATCATGTGTCCTGTTTAATACATGTGTCCTGTTTAATACATGTGTCCTGTTTAATACATGTGTCCTGTTTAATACATGTGTCCTGTTTAATACATGTGTCCTGTTTAATACATATGTCCTGTTTAATACATGTGTCCTGTTTAATACATGTGTCCTGTTTAATACATATGTCCTGTTTAATACATGTGTCCTGTTTAATACATGTGTCCTGTTTAATACATATGTCCTGTTTAATACATGTGTCCTGTTTAATACATGTGTCCTGTTTAATACATGTGTCCTGTTTAATACATGTGTCCTGTTTAATACATATGTCCTGTTTAATACATGTGTCCTGTTTAATACATGTGTCCTGTTTAATACATGTGTCCTGTTTAATACATGTGTCCTGTTTAATACATGTGTCCTGTTTAATACATATGTCCTGTTTAATACATGTGTCCTGTTTAATACATGTGTCCTGTTTAATACATATGTCCTGTTTAATACATGTGTCCTGTTTAATACATGTGTCCTGTTTAATACATGTGTCCTGTTTAATACATGTGTCCTGTTTAATACATATGTCCTGTTTAATACATGTGTCCTGTTTAATACATGTGTCCTGTTTAATACATGTGTCCTGTTTAATACATGTGTCCTGTTTAATACATGTGTCCTGTTTAATACATGTGTCCTGTTTTCATCATGTGTGCTAATGTTCTCGTGAAGATTATGTTGATGTTGTTGTTAAAGATTTAGCTACTCAGGACGAAGTGTCCATGTAGCACGGGCTATGGTGAGCCCGTAAATTTATGTTGAAGAATGTCCCGTATTTATACATATCCGTTCCCCTAGAGTGAGATGTTCTGAATAATGTAAATATTTTTTGATCATTGGAACACTTGAAATATTTGTCCTTAATCCAAGATTTAATATATATATATATATATATATATATATATATATATATATATATATATATATATATATATATATATATATATATATATATGTTCTGTATTCAGACATACAGAAACTGACCATCAAAAACTATCAAATACAAATTAAACAAAAATCAGTACCATTTAAAATTCTAAGCCCCTGATAGATTTCTATATCCCGACACTCGTGTACACGCGAGTAACAACAAAACAGTGACCACCCTCACTACCCAAACATTCCACAGCTCGTGGCTGAGGAGTGACGAGCCAGACACAAACATTGGGAGAGGAGTTATTACGGGCTATTCATGCCCGTGCCACCTCTTGGGTGGCTCAATCTTTATCAATCAATTGGGAGATATATTGCCATCAATACCTACGGTGGGAAATGTATTCAGAGGATCTCTTTCCTGGTGTTAAGCATAATAGACGGTGGTTAACAGTGACAATAGACGGTGGTTAACAGTGACAATAGACGGTGGTTAACAGTGACAATAGACGGTGGTTAACAGTGACAATAGACGGTGGTTAACAGTGGCAATAGACGGTGGTTAACAGTGACAATAGACGGTGGTTAACAGTGACAATAGACGATGGTTAACAGTGACAATAGACGAGGGTTAACAGTGACAATAGACGGTAGTTAACAGTGACAATAGACGGTAGTTAACAGCGACAATAGACGGTGGTTAACAGTGACAATAGACGGTGGTTAACAGTGACAATAGACGGTGGTTAACAGTGACAATAGACGGTGGTTAACAGTGACAATAGACGGTGGTTAACAGTGACAATAGACGATGGGTAACAGCGACAATAGATGATGGGTAACAGCGACAATAGACGGTGGGTAACAGTGACAATAGACGATGGTTAACAGTGACAATAGACGAGGGTTAACAGTGACAATAGACGGTGGTTAACAGTGACAATAGACGGTGGTTAACAGCGACAATAGACGGTGGTTAACAGTGACAATAGACGGTGGTTAACAGTGACAATAGACGGTGGTTAACAGTGACAATAGACGGTGGTTAACAGTGACAATAGACGGTGGTTAACAGTGACAATAGACGGTGGTTAACAGTGACAATAGATGGTGGGTAACAATGACAATAGACGGTGGGTAACAGTGACAATAGACGGTAGTTAACAGTCACAATAGACGGTGGTTAACAGCGTCTAAGAGCAATAATCTCCTCATGGACTATTACAATATGTGTGCTAATCACTCCGTGTACAAAGGGGTCGGGCAAGCACGAGCAAGCATAAGTGATATCTGGGGACTCTAGGATGGGCTGCTTGACAGGTCTGTCAATTGATGAGACGGCATGTTAACCTGTCAACACGACAGGTGACCGGGATGTGACAGCTGGCCAGTGGTAGACACTACAAAGGATGAAATGCTCCCTAAACGGTGATCTGTGAAATAAATCAGTGTACGAACGCCACTGCTATCATGCGAAGAGAGAATCACGTGAAAATTGTGTGGAAAATATAAAGAAATATTCAAGAATGATACTTCCACCATACACCTATACTGCCCCCCCCCCACCTGCAACACCTCCCCCACCTGCAACACCCCCCCCCCACCTGCAACACCCCCCCCCCTGCAACACCCCCCCCCCCCCACCTGCAACACCCCCCTACACCTCGTCAATACAACATTCCATCCAGACACCCTCCTCACAAGCTGCCACATCTATCTTGAGGTTATCTTGAGATGATTTCGGGCTTTAGTGTCCCCGCGGCCCGGTCCTCGACCAGGCCTCCACCCCCAGGAAGCAGCCCGTGACAGCTGACTAACTCCCAGGTACCTATTTACTGCTAGGAAACAGGGGCATTCAGGGTGAAAGAAACTTTGCCCATTTGTTTCTGCCTCGTGCGGGAATCGAACCCGCGCCACAGAATTACGAGTCCTGCGCGCTATCCACCAGGCTACGAGGCCCCATCTAGCCACCAGGGATGGTAAAGTCTTTCTATGTTGTATATGTAGGCTTCCCATCACCAGTCAAGCCTACATACAATCCCTGAACCTTCACCTCGAGCTGAAGCTTCGCAGTTTCACCCACAACACGCCACGTACATGCGCCTGGCACCACAATAACGTAGTATAACGTTTAGGAAATCAGTATTTGAGCTGCGATCACGAGTTATATTAATCAGCGAGATCAAACTATCAGTCATGGCCACAGGGAGCTTGGGGGGACCTGAAAGAAAGCTCCAGAACGGCTCGGGAAGACGCAAACAGCTCGCGCTTGCATTTTGAAATGCAACTGGTGCCTGGATTAGGGACGGTTGTGCTTGCAACACCCCCAGACCAACCGCGTATGGACTTGTTGCTCAACAGGGCTTGACGAGAGGGATCCAAATCTGGTAATCCAGTTGACTTGATTGGGAGATGAGAAGCATCAGTGGATATGCCTGGTGCAGGCCGAGGCAGGCCGGGGCAGACCGAGGAAGGACCGTCAAACGCAGCTGCTCGCTCTCGGTCATGTTGGGGGGGGGGGGGGGGGAGCAGGTCACGTGTTTGAGTGATATACAGGACGTATTGAGGAAGCAATCAGGAGAGAGAAGCATCTTATATGTTGAGTGGCTGGATGTGGCATGAGAAATTAGTCAGTGTGTTTTGTGTATTGTCTATGTGTTTGTGTGTGTGTGTTTGTGTGTGTTTGTGTGTGTTTGTGTGTGTGTATGTGTGTGTATATTATTTGTGCCTGTAGGATCGAGCTGTTAGCTCTTGGACCCCGCCTTTCTAACCGTCGGTTGTCTAATGTACAGACTCCCTACCTATTTTTCCTGTATCGTATCTACTACACATTCCTCTCTAACACACACATCCCCAGGATGCAGCCAGTAGCAGCTGTCTAACTCCCAGGTACCTGTTTTTTGCTAGGTGAATAGAGGCACCAGGTGAAAGAAACTCTGCCCATTTGTTTCTGCCTCGACTGGTAATCGAACCCGGGCCCTTGGGACTACGGTCGCAGAGCGCTGTCCATTCACCCGCGAGTGTGTGTGTGAGAGAGTCAGTGAGTTAAGCTAAAATGTTGTTCAGTGTAATATTTATATTTTCAGTTTGTTGTCCACAACTGATCAACTGTTCAAGTCAGCCAGAACTACAACGATTTAAGTTATTGTTTTGAATAAAGCTTCTGATCCTCGCCGCCAGGTGGTGCGACGAAGGGTAGTGACGTCACGGCTGCTGAGGGCGCTGCTGGCGGTCTTAGGTGGTCCTCAAGCCTTCAAGGTCGTCCTCGTCACCCGCCTCACGCCCATCCCCTTCGGCCTCCAGAACGCTGTCTTCGCCGTGAGTACCACACACACACACTCTGGAGTGTCACTCCTGAGGGCCACTATAAAGCGCCACTCTTGTATATACACCACTACTTGAGTGCCACCATTTGAGTTACCATAATAATCCTAATAATTCTGGAAACCACAAACAACCTCTTTTGAAACAATTGATTGATCCGGCGTCTATTACCGGGTCTTTAGGCCTTTAAGCCAAATTTGCCTTAAGACGGTCTTAAGTTCTGACAGTCCTTAAGACGGTCTTAAGTTCTGACAGTCCTTAAGACGGTCTTAAGTTCTGACAGTCCTTAAGACGGTCTTTAGTTCTGACAGTCCTTAAGACCGTCTTAAGTTCTGACAGTCCTTAAGACGGTCTTAAGTTCTGACAGTCCTTAAGACGGTCTTAAGTTCTGACAGTCCTTAAGACGGTCTTAAGTTCTGACAGTCCTTAAGACCACAAGACAGTCTGACAGTTCTTAAGACTGAAAGACAGTCTGATAGTTCATAAGACTACAAGACAATCTGACAGTCCTGAAAGACAGTCAGTTTGTCAACTACTGGAAGATTGTCAGGCCACCGCAAGAGCTCACAGAGACGTCAGCAAAATCTACTCTAAACGTTCAGCATATTCATGACTACAGTAAATATTAGTATATTTTGGTAGCAGTCTTTCCTGTAGACATATATTATTAAATATGACCGAAAAAGTAAGATTAATAATTCTAACACGAATCTATATACAGTAAATATATATATATATATATACCGACAAGTAAATTATATCTGTCCGTGTATTTTCATTACCTGAGGGGCACAGCAAGCCGGCGACTTGTCGCACCATCTCCATCGATTGATGGAGATGGTGCAAGAAGGGGGAAGGGAAATATCGGAAGAAAGCGCTAAGCAAGTACGACTAAATAGCACTTGGAAGGGGTCAGGATAAGGATTTAGGATGGGACGGAAGGAAAGGAATGGTGGCCAACCACTTGGACCGGACGGTGCAAGAAGTGTTTTCTGTTTCCGTAAAGAGGACTCGAGAAACCTGTCGGCCGGTGACCTTATACGATCACAGAGCCTATAACAAGGGGGTAGAATTTTGCCTACCTTTGTCAAACCCGTTCAAGACATCCTCTATGTTATGTGGTAATTACTCCATCACCTAAGTTATCATTCACCTAACTACCACAAGGGGCCACGATCTCCTTGGAATCTAGAATCATATTCTTTTGATGTCTAATAATAACGCCTTTAATAAACAACAAAAATTCTGCCGTGCTCCCATGATGCCCATCTGTAAACCTCTTCATGTTAGCTATCTCTAAATACGATACAAAATTGTCCCAAACATCAGTTTCAGTTGACCATGAGGGTACGGCCTCCCTCCCCCCCCACCGTCGTTATATGCAGTTAATGAGAACATTATTGAATGTTTTAAATGATATATTATATATAATGATACATTAGTTGGCGTTTAAATGATACATATATATATATATATTATATATATATATATATATATATATATATATATATATATATATATATATATATAATGATACATTAATTGGCGTTGTGTCACGATGACCCTGACTGATTCTCTAACTATGGGGGGGGGAGAGAGAGAGAGAGAGAGAGAGAGAGAGAGAGAGAGAGAGAGAGAGAGAGAGAGAGAGAGAGAGAGAGAGAGAGAGAGAGTGAGAGAGAGAGAGAGAGAGAGAGAGACAGACAGAGATAGATAGTCCCCCCTCCCCCATATAAACAACATTACCGTTATCACCAAGTCGTCTCATTACCTTCCTATAACTATAACGGAACAGAATTATTTACGTATAATCCCTTCCCCCCCCCCCCCCCCCCCCCCCCCCCACCCCACACGAGAGTTCAACACCTCTCCAAACATAAATTATAAAACACAGAGACCAAATATCCTAAAAAAAAACACACAACTTTTCCTGTTATAAATAGTTTACAGAAAGATGATAACTGAGCTTAAATAACATTGGAACAATTAAGAGTCAAAACTGATGCTAGGGAAACTTGAGTCATTCAGAAATATAATCGAAACAGACGGGTAGAGAGACGGGCATATAGGGAGGACGAGAGGTAAAATAGATAGCTAATGAGACGGTAGTGACAGGTGTGTACGTGACGGTATTGACAGGTGTGTATATGGCGGAAGCGACAGGTGTGGTCACCTATTAGGGCTCGCCTAGAGGTGACCATTCAGCCTCCAGGGTGCCAAGGTCGACCAAATGTCACGTGTTGCCAACGCTGGTTCCGTGTTGCGGACTCGCCTAGTTGTGCCTGCGGTGAGAGGGGGGGGGGGGGGGGGAGTCAGCTTTGGCTTTTGGGGATGGTTTATTCTGGTTTACCTTTAATGTAAACCTTTGGGGTTTAACCTTTAATTGATTGGAATAAGGGTTTCAGAGCACATTTAGTGTGTGTGTGTGTGTGTGTGTGTGTGTGTGTGTGTGTGTGTGTGTGTGTGTGTGTGTGTGTGTGTGTGTGTGTGTGTGCAACTCACCCTTCCCAACCCGCCCACCCGACCCGCCCCAACGCTAAAACCAGTATGGGTGGGTGTGGCCGACGGTGTGGGCGACGGTGAAGGGCCAACGGGACCTCAACAAACGGGGCTTTCTAGGCTGGCGTCGGCAAGCACCCCAACCGAAGGCTTCCCGGAGCACGGAGGAACACAGCCGGCCAGCGCTTCCTGTAGGCAGCCGGAATCCCCCTCTCACCTTTCTGGGCCAACAGTGCCTCGACTGGCCGGCCTCCCTCGACCCGTCACCCTCGGCGACGATTGATGAGTAATTGTCCATCGGTGCGGCCCTCGTCTCTGATTAGCCAAGAGACGAGTGCGCGCGTAGGCAAAACACGCGTACACGCACGCAAAGACACATACATTTGATAGTAGCCCAGTAGGCTCAAGAATCTGTACACCAGTTGATTGACGGATGAGAGGCGGGACCAAAAAGCCAAAGCCCCACTCCCGCAAGCACAACTAGGTGAGTACACACACACACACACACACACACACACACACACACACACACACACACACACACACACACACACACACACACACACACACACACACCAACCCATCTCCTCAAATAATACACTATGCACTATATTTCGACGTTAAGGCCCCCCCCCATCGGACAATATTTCCAGTGGAATATGAGAGACTTAATACAAGAAAGGTAACAAAAACAGGGAGTTACACTCTTAGTTAAAAGAAAATTAAAGATTGAGGAACTTGAAGATGTTAATACAATTCGATACACAGATACATCACTGGCGCTCTGACAGCAGATGGAAGACAGTAATGTGGGTCGTGGTAGTATACAAGACACCAGTACACAACAGAAGACCCCAGGCAGGAATATAATGACACACGCAAAGCACGAATAGATAAACTGCAAAGAGCAGCAACGGCAGCACCCAGAATGAGAGCTAAATTACTAATCATGGGAGACCTAAATCATGGAGAGATAGAATGGGAATCGAAATACTACAACCCCCCCCCCCCATTAGCGGAGAAGTAATGGGAGGGGCAAAATTTAGTGGCAGTTCTTGAGAGGAACTTTCTTATCACAACATATAAAAGATAACAGAAGAGAAAGGGGGGAGAGGAGCTGCATCTAGTCTACTGGATCTCATTTTCAGCCAAAATGAGGAAGATATCGTATACTAGGATGATGAAATGTCACTTGCACCCAGAGGCCGTTGTGTCCTAGTCTTTGATGACATAATTGAATTAAAAACAATGGACATAACTCAAGGGATCAAAGAAAGGAGAGTAGATTACAGTAAAGGGAACTACATGAAAGTAAGAGAGTACCTGCAAAATGTGCAATGAGACAGAAAGTAGGGGGAAACACAGTCCAGGGAATGATGGATCAAATCATGCAAAGAGGCTGAAGAGAGTCATACCAACAATTATGGTAAGAAGGTTAAAGAATACAACAAACTCATTCTTCAAATGAAATGCCAAGAAGCTGAACCAAAAACCAGGAGAGAGTAGAATAAACTACAGACCGAAGAAAACAAGTTTACATACCACAGAGCTAGGAAAGACAACATAAACATAAGAAACTCTAAGGAAAACTATAAAAAATGCATCTGAAGCGATGAACAAACGAAGTTACCACATTGTCATATATAAAGACAAATTCACAATAAATATTCAAATGACTGAGAAATGGTTATTAGATTTCAACACAAAACGTGTAATGTGATGGAATTAGGATCAGGTGCCAGGAGACCAGAAAGGTGTTACTCACATACATGTACACAGTGAAGGGAAAATGACCTCCCTGTAATCTCTAGAGAAAAAAGATCATTTAGTGGATATAACATAAAGTCTAATTCTGGAGACACAAATAAATAGAATAACATCAGCAGCATACACTAGAATGGCGAAAATCAGAACATGTTCAAGATCCTCAAGAAGGTGATTAAATATCTGTACACCACCCACGTGAGACCAGTCTTAGATTATGCAGCTCCATCGTGGAGCTCTCATCTTAAAACAGTGAATAAGAAAAATTTAAAGGTTAGAAGATTATCAACGAGGCTCGTCCCCGCAATTGCGAGGGATGGGGTATGAAAAAAGGCTGAAAGAACTAGACGTGACATCACTATAGAAAAGAAGAAAGTGCAGAGACATGATAAAGACTTAAAAATAGTTAGGAGAATTGACGAAATGGAAAAATAAAATGTGTTCAAAATTAATACCAATAGAACAAGCGGCCACGGATGGAAGCTTAAGAATTAGACGAGTCAAAGAGATATTAGACGGATCCCTGGAAACACAAACCGTAACTGTCTCTATTTTCCGCTTGTTACAACTTGTAATAAAGTTGTTACATCTTGGCTTAACGTATTTATGACGTATTAGAACGTTGTTACAACTTGCTATATTGGTTGTTATAACTGGTTAGGTGTTAAAACTTGTTCGAACGTTGTACCAACGTCGTAGTTTCGGTGTGTGTGTTTGGCGGGTTATCTTTT